AAGCGATACATTTTGTCCTCTGTAGCCTATTATCCTTATGACCTGGACTGGGGTCCTCCACAGGAAGTTCCAGATCATTGATGCTGAGGATGTTGGAGTCAGAGAGAATAAAACATGTCCCCAGAAAGCCCTTCAGCTGCTTTCTTATGCCACCAAATTGAAAAGAAAAAGACTGAGTGGACCTTTGTGAGGTGGGGCCTGGGTTCCAGGAAATGATAGTAATAACTGAGTTGTGTCAGTACAATATCAGATTGTTCCAACTTAGTGTCCCACCACCCTCTGTATATGCCCCCACCTTCTTCAAATTCCTTGGTGTCCCGGCACATCTCTGATCACTGTTCCTGGGAGCTACTGCACATTAGATTATTGGTCCTCGTTCTTTCTCGGGTCCCTGTGAGGTCTATGGTGGCCTTTAGAAAGGGACTCTTGGGCAGGCTGCATTTGCCATGTCCTTGCTGTACATGCATGAGAATCTGAGTTTGAATCTCTGCAGACATGGTAGTTCATGTTTCCATGATCAAGCATTCTTAAGAGGAGGTGGTAGGAAGAAATAGAATTCTCTCAAGTTCGCAGACTAGCTAGCCAGGGATAGGCAGAGGCAAACGACATGAGATCCTGTCTCAACCAGCATCTGAGGTTGTCCTTCAGCCTTCACACATGTACCGTGCATGTGCAGCCCCCTGAATTCACACACAGGAACACACATGCAAAGATTATTTTTATAGCATTTATTTTTAGTTATGCATATGTGAGTGTGTGTTTGGTTATAAGTATTTACCTTGAGAGGCCAGAATCATCAGCTGCCCTGGAGTAGAGTTGCAGGCAGTTGTAGGCAGCCCAATGAGAGTATTGGAAACAAAACTCTGGTCCTCTGAAAGAATAGCTCATGCTTCTATCACTGAGCCACCGCCCCAACCCCCACAAAGGAAAATTTACTCCCCGCCAATTGCCAGGCCATCTTTATCTATCCCCATCCAGGATGCAGCAAACACGTTTTCTCACCACACTTTATACTTTTTCTAGACCATTCTTTCAGGACAGAAACTACCTACTGCTGGCCTCTGGGATTTGCTCACTGCAATTTTGAGGAAATCACCAGTTTTTCTGTGCTTCATTCTTCTTGGGAGAGAAATAAGAAGAGTGGAGGCGGCTGCCTCATGGCTACTTTCTGGCTCAGCCGGTTAATAGATCTGCAGCCCGCCTGGTGCGTAGGAAGGACTTTCTGCATGTGGATTAGACTTAAAAAGAAACAAGCAAGAGCATAATGTCTGACCTGACTGAGGATGTAGCTCAATGGTAGGCTCATCTGCCAAGCCCCGTGTTTAGGCTCTAACACCAAAAAATGTAATTAGTAGCTATAAACAACAGAAAAACATAAAAACACTAGTTATATTGGCTGATGTTGGTGTTCATGCCTCTATGTTTTTCAAACTAGACATGAAATTGCTTGTGTGTAGTCTGTCCGTATGTATAAATGCATAGCGACATAATATGTAAGCATGTAAGTATATGATACTGTTCAGATTAGTTGGCACAAACATATTCTATAGGACTATGATGTAATGTGCACATGTTTAAAGCTAAGTTCCATTCCAAGAGAAACTGCTCTGAGCAATTGAACCACAACTAGAGAAAGCACACATGTGAGATGTGATTACACTGGTATTCTGGACTTTAATGTTACGAATTTTAAGTTGCTTAGAGTGCAGGATAAGAACAAAGGTCTCCTCCAGGTATACTCGTCCTTCAAGGAAGCAGACTGCTGCGCAGCCTTGTGATTAGCTAACTTGATTAAAGATCAGTGGGACCTGCGTTTCTGCTCTGGCTGGCACTGTTACAAGCAAGAGGTGGGGGATAAAGATACCAGGAACGGGAACTGTACACTAGCTGCATTCTGAGCATCAGCCCATTTATCTTTACAGAAATCTGAGCAGAGACTAACTGCTAGACTACAAGAGAATTCACACGGCCCAGGAGTCATCTACGCCATGCCTCTGCTCTCCCACCTCCGCTGCCCAGCACACCGTCCTCAGATGGAATTTCCCTTGTTCCTCTCCTCTTTGCCACAGTCTCCCCACAATATCTGAGGGTCACTGCCCATTGTGCCACAGACGTGGAAACACAGGAAAGGGTGTGCCCCGATGCATACACAAACATCATTGACAAGCACTGCCTTTAGGTATTGCTGCACACCCCCTCCCCAAACCAATTCCTCTCAGTAGCTGCTGAGCACCTTTCGCTCAGCGTTCTTCCCACAGCTGTAAGCAATTCAGTTCACTGAAAACTAGGGCACCCATCTCATCAAACAAAGCAGAACAGAACAACAACAAACCAGAGTAAATGAAACCACTTGCCTTAGAAAGAAGTAAATTCCCTTTACTCTCATTCAAGTATACCTTTTGACTCCCAAACCAATATATCAAGGTTTTCTTCCAGAAACCTGGAACGTTTTTCCCTAGGAGGAAGCCAGGTCCTAGGAAAATGATCAAGGATTTACATGTGTTTATATGAAGTCAGCAATTCCTGAGCATCTATTGTGTGCTAACAATGGTACCCGTTATCAGTCACCCTCTCACAACTCTGTGCTATGAACCATCCTCACAAGCATGTGGGAATCAGTGCAGAAGGAACTACACAGAGGTCGGTAAGGAGAATAGGACATAGTGATTAGGGCTAAATTGTGGGGCTTGAGTCCCAGTTCTACCATTCTCTCTCAGCATCTGCCTGGTACTCCTCCAATGGAGATCGTTATCATCTCTGTCACAGAACGGAAGTGATTCAAGTGATTCAAGTTCTGAGTGTTTAGTGCAAGGCTTGGGACTGAATGTGAAGTATTTACTTAATTTACTTAGGAGTAGCAGCATCAGTATTGACAGCAATGTGAGTTGCATCACCTTCATCAAACATCATTGTCGTCATCATTATCATCATCATCATAAGGAGCAACAGCTTATAATGTAATCCCTTGTCTCACACTGGCCCTGATGGGAATGCAGTCTCCTCTGTGTACCACTGGCTGCCCTTCTAGCTAAAAGAATAGGTGGAGGTAGATAATAATACTTTGACTTCCCCAGATATTAAGAATGGTGACAGGCATTAATAAACCCTGAAAATATGTCAAGAACTTCACAGCTGTTAAGGAACACTATTCCCAGTATATTGTCTCCCTTCTCTTTCTTTTTTGATTTTTTTTGTTTTGTTTTTCAAGCAAGGTCTCACTATGTATCCTTGATGGCCTTGAAATTCACTATGTTGATTTATACTGTCCTAGAGTTCATAGTAAACCAGCTGCCTTTGCCTCCTGAGTACTGGGATTCAAAGCATGTGCCACCACACCCAGCCCTCCATATATTCATATTGAAATGGAATCAAGAACTACTCTAGGTCTGCATGGCTGAGACAGAAAGTTTGCATTTAATTCCAAAGCCAGTTTTCCAAGGCATGCAACTCAAGTCCAGCACATCTCCTCTCCCCAGAGACCAATCCATAATTGTCTTTTGACACATTTATGGCTTGCTTCCTTCAAAGAGAATGCTTATTGAATGTTATTCAATAAACCATTTCCGAGTCTTGATGCCGAATAACAACCCCCAAGCCATTCTCCCTAAACACTGTTGGTATTTTTGTTTGTTTGTTTTGGGTTTTGTTTCTATACCCTAGTCAACCAATATTTCTGCCTCATTCCCCAAAGGATTAACTCTTTCTGCTCCTAGAGACTTCAACTCTTTCTGAGTTAGCAAAAATATGCTCATTCTAAATTTGCAAGCATGAAGGCTAATAAATAAATAAATAAAATCATTTGACATTTTCTTAGACCCTGGCTTTCATCTTCATATTCTCCAAATCTCTGTGTCTAGAACTGGTATTTATGCTGAGCCCATATGATGAGGACTCTAGAGATTTTAACTATATGAATACCATGGAAGGGTGGTGGTTTCCTTCTCTCTGTCCTTCCTAAGCACAGGGATCAGGGTTTACTTAAAGCCCTCAATGACTTAAGACCTTGAATTCTGGGCTAATGTCTTGACCAGGCCTTTTAGCAAGATTTATCTGGCACTTCCTGCCTGGTAGACTCTGTGACTCTGAAGACACAAAGCTGATATTAAAGAGCCTGCCTGTTTCCTGTCTCATCTGGCTTTGAACATTTTCAGGAGGTGACAAGTCATAGGTTTGCACCTTGGTGCAGAGAGATGGATAAATCACCTGAGCCTCATTGAGTCTCCATCCACATAACAGGTCCTTTTATCGTTTCCATGCGGATGCAGAGATGACAAAAATAAGACAACGAATGCAGAAGTTGCTTTGACAATGGCTGCTCCATGAGATGGTCTCAAGCAATATTAAATAACTGATGGCGGGCAACCCTCTGTTATCTGACTGCTTGTAGCTTCCATAGCTTCCAAATGTTTCCATCACTATCTTAGCTGCACACAGACCTTTGCATTTGATGCCTGGGAAATGGTTTGTGTCAACATTCTATATTCAATAAAATGCACATAATGTATTTCCCCAGCCTTCTAGGCTCACTTCTACTGGAAAAATCCAATGCAAATGAGACATCTGTTTCTCATGTGCAGATGGTGCAGGCATCTTTCACATCTTTGTCAAATAAAGGGGAATGAGAAGTCTCATATAGAAGTCCACATGGGTTCTGTTTCTTTGCTAGAGATTAAAGAGGATGGTGAAAAAAAATGATGAACTTTCTGAAGTCATACTAATTTGTCTTTCAGCATATTTCCCTTTTGATTGGTCCAAAGAATTATTTGTTGAGATTTTCCATGAGAACTGTTTCCAGTTCTGTGAGAAGTTTGAGTAAACCATGGTATAGACTATGATTAGAACGATAATGTCATACGTCTTTTCTTTTTAGGTGGGAAAAATAAATTATGCATTGTCAAAATGGAGTCAAGACTACAAAACCCTGAATCAAATGATTAACTTAAAACCCCATGCAGAAAAGCAGCTGGACAATCAGATCATAGCATGGTCAGCACAAATGCTAGTCATGAAAAGGAAGTGTAAATATGCACGTGAGGTCCAGGAGCTCAGATGGTAGAGCGCTTGCCTAGCATGCATCAAAGCCCAAGTTCAATCGCTAGAACTGTATGAATCAGATGTGGTGATGCACACCTGCAATCCCGGCACTTGGGAGGTCGAGGCAGGAGACCCAGGAGCTCACGGTTACCCATAGGTATGTAACAAGTTGGAAGTCATGGGATGCCTCCAAGCAATATTAAAAAATTGATACTGGGTGTTCCTCTGCTACTTATCACTTGAAGCTTTCATATTTTCCAGATGTCTGCAGCACTGATATTAATTGCTTAACCAAATGCCTTTAAGTGTACAGTGACCTTTGCATTTAATTGTATGGAGCCCCATCTCAAAAAAAAATCCACAGGCACATTCAACAGCTGGAGCTCTCTGTTCACGTGCTGATTTCCTTGTCTGAACTCCCAGAATTTTCTTTGGACTTCCACAATGGGCCTTTTCCATTTGGGTGTCCTCCACAAATATTTGTAGAATGAACTAACAATTTCCTTACCTTTTCTAAACACAGGAAGCTGGTATCTATAGCTCAATCATTACTGCTCAATATCTGATCTTGCATACCACTGGCCAGGCTGTGAGCTAAGAGATAAAGTCCCATAGAACCCTGAGAACTTAGATATTTGCTTGACCTGGAGAAGGGGGCAGGCTTCGGGGAACTGAATAGATTATCAAAGGAAGGAACCAACTCCTGGGATCTCAGACATGGCTCTGCTGCCTTTATGTTTTGCTGTGGGTCACATGAAGGTGCAGTGTAGCCTAAGAATCTCCAAAGGTGTTTATCAAGACCCCCTTCTTTCTGCCGGGGCCAAGGTACCAGAATACCTCATTTTGTCCCTGATCCCCACGTTCGTTCTGGCTGACTCCTCTGCTGACCATCTTGCTTTGAAGAGCTGCCCTGTCACCATCATCTGACCTTTATCTCCTCATACTTCCCATTTTGCCTCCTTTGTATCATGTAGAATCCTTACAGACTGGATTCTGCTTTCAGAACCTCCCACAACCTGTTTTCACTGTAGAGAGGGAGAAGTCGTATATCCAGAGGACAAATATGTCTAAGAACAACAAGAAGAAATGGCATTTCCATCAATCTTCTTGGACAACAATTTATGAGAAGTCTAATTCTGAAGGCACTATAGGCATGTGGACATCAGAGGGGTCTGATGATGTTAGAGGTGTCAGCTAATCCATTTGAAACTAAGTACAAACTTTTCATTTAGACAAAGGTCTCTCTCCCTCTCCCTCTCTCTGTCTCTGTCTCTCTCTGTCTCTGTCTCTCTGTCTCTCTCTGTCTCTCTGTCTCTCTGTCTCTCTGTCTCTCTGTCTCTGTCTCTGTCTCTGTCTCTGTCTCTGTCTCTCTCTCTCTCTCTCTCTCTCTCTCTCTCTCTCTCTCTCTCTCTCTCTCTCCTCTCCTTTACCCAGTTGAGGGTATGAAACCTAGGAAGCAGGGCATGTTAGGCAAGTTTCTACCATCGAGCTGCAATCTCTGTTGGATGAGAACATTTTACTATTGAGTAAATGAGTAATACTATCTCCTCTACCTTCATGCATGTCTTCACCCTTCCCCCAGAAAGGGCAGTTCGTTTCCTAAGACAAATTACTAGCCTTAATTTTTAATTTCGTTTTAAAGTGAACATCATATCTGACCCCTGTCACTTTCCCAGAAGCTTTTGGCCAGCCCTCACCACAGTGGTAGAGAGATCAAGACCATAAATGAGTCCCCTGAGGTAGGTCTGGTAGGAGGAATGCTCTAGAATGAACAGGGACAAAAATTAAAAGTTTAAAGATGAAGAGGGAAAAATCAACTAAACAGTGATTCTTCACCCTCCCCCCAAGATGAATCTCTAAGTTCCAGTTTTCTGTCTCTAGAGACTTAACTGACATTGGAGCAGAGACTCTGAATTGTTTCATCTGTCTTCTACAATGGGAATGAGCCATCAGGAGCAGACCTGGAGCCCCAGAGTGGGGGTGGAAGGGGTGGGCGGTGATGAATCAGGGGGAAAAGAGATCTCTTCAGAAGGAGGATCTTTGCTCTAGGACCATCCATCACAAAATATTCACTGGATACTTCACTGTTAAAACCAAGTTGTGTTCCCACCTTTGAGGGACTGTCAGGAGTCTGTGTTAACAGAAGAGTTTAGCTTCTTGTCAGTCAGAGTTTAGACTGACAAGTCAGTCTTCTGAGCTTCTAAAATCTTCCCAGATAGAGAAACTCAGTCAGTCTGAAGACAGCCTCGATAGGGAGTTCAGTTTCCTAAGTTTGGCTCCTAAATGTATTCAGAATCATGAATCTTCCTTTTTAATCTCCGAGTCTATTTCGGAGTTTTCAAAAGTTTGTTTTTGTTTTTCTAGTTCGCACATACAGAGAGGAGGAAGTCAACATTTCTTGAAGCCAGTGGGTGGTGAGTATCCATGAAAACTGGGCCACTGAGGGGAGAGCCAGACATAGAAGGAGGCTGGCTGAGGAGGCAGAAGGAGAGTCAGCACCCATGGTCCCAGGAGCTGATCAGAGCAGCTGTTCCCTGCTTCTACTTGGGAACTGTACCAAGGGCATCTTGCATTATAAGCCTGCTCACTCAGCCTAACATGTGTTACAAGGACATAATCCTGCCATTGTACAACAATTCCAAAACAAAGGCTAACAAGAGGGAAGGGACTGGAGAAATGCTTTGAGCCCAGCATCATTAATTTTACAGTGAGGACTCTGATGTTCAGAGGGGGAGGGCACTCTGCCCAAGGACTTAGGAAGTAGAAAGTGAGGATTTGGATGTAAGGTTGCCTGAGATCCATTTCTGTTGTGTTTTGCATAGGAAATGTCTCCGGATGGCTTATGTATGTTGAAACCTTGGTCCCCAGCTGGTGAAACCAATCATTGAGGGATTATTGTTCATGAAGTCTCTGACCTAGTTAATGGACAAAACCATTGATGGAGTCATAATTTGATGGCATTACTGGAAAATACTAGAAAGACCTAGTTGGAAACATAGTTTGCTTGGAATAAGGTTTGTGACTGCTTCTTTCCTTGTGGGCTCTTTCACCACCTGGCCACCATGAGGTGAGTAGTCTTTGCTGTCACATGCACCTCACTCCCCACAGACCCTAAGTCGATGGAGCAAGCCGAGTCAAACATGGACTGAAATCTCTGCTATTATGAATCAAGTAAATTTTTCTTCTCCCAAGTTGCTTGTCTTTGGTTATTTTGTCAGAAACACCAACAGGTTGACTGTCACAAGGTTCCCTCTCTTTAAAGCCTGTCTTAGTGTATCCACCAACAAACTGTTCTCCCTGTCCTCAGCCCAGGGTCTCAGAGGGAAGTGCAATTGCCAAGCGGGGCTGTGATTCATGCAAACCCTCTAGATCCTCATCAAGAGGGAAGAAAATTCTAGATTAAAGTCTTAACCAACCTTTGCTGATATTTATCTCCAAGACGGTCAGCAAACCGTGAAAGAAATGAAGAGTAAAACATGGCGGAGTGAGGAAGAGAGGGAAAGGCAGGTGGGGGAGGGAGAGGTTGAGGAGGGGAGAGAAACTGTTAAACAAGAAACAGAATTGACTGTATGAGAAAGCCCCAATCTGAGCACCCTCTTGTGTGCTTTAAGGAGACTGGTTACTTGTATGCAGGGATGTCATTTGCAACCTGTGAAATCAGGAGGACCCAGCCAAGTGATAAGGCAGTGATTTTCAACTTTTCTAACGTCGTGACCCTTTAATACAGTTCCTCATGCTATGGGGACCCCCCAACCATAAAATTCTTTTGGTTGCTACTTAATAACCGTAATTTTGCTACTGTATTTTCTTAGGCAACCCCTGTGAAAGGACTGCTCGAATCCCAATAGGGTTGTGACCCACAGGTTGAGAACTACAGTGCTACGGACACATTTAGACCTTCCTTTCCCGACCCTGGACACACCCTTTTCTAGACCTTCCATGAAGTGTGCCAGCACTTATGTTCTAACAAGCAGCTGAGTTTGGGCTTAGGGAAAATCTGCAGCCATGGGGTTCCTGGGGGGAATTTTCAGTCAGAAACTCAGCAGAAATGCCTTGCAGCTTTTCAGCCAGATGTACTTATTAATTTATTTCCTCCAGCCGGGAGCCGCCTCCAGCTTTGCTTTGCAGAAGTCTGTGTGTGCCTTTGAACTCCAAATAGCTTCCAGACCTTGTGTCTGTGCTGTGAGTGCTCCGTGCTCTACCAAAACGCCCTGGGGCTGCATGAACGAAGACAGTCTAAGAAATGGCAGTGGCTTCTTTCCCTGTTTCTTTCCACAGTTTACTCTCTGGTTCTAAAACACTGCAATCGTCACTTCCATTCTGAAACCCCGGTCTCCTCTGGATCCCCGTGTTGTGTGAAACTCTTGGGCAGGGTTCACTGTGCATCTATTTGCTTCAGCTTCAGAGGACCCCTGAGGCAGGTAGATGGCCTTCCCAGAAAGAAATCCCCAGGGTTCTGTGGTCCCGGTGTGTGCACACACAGCTCCTTGCCTATATTTTGGATGTATTCCTGTGGGAAAGGATTCTCTGGGTAACAAAAGGCAACCCAGGTGGAAGAGCTGTTGATACTGAAAGTGCTGCTTAGCGAAGCCTTTACAGCGGATACAGGAGAGGGAGGCAGGGTCTGGAGGCAACACACTGGCCGGGAAAGGCTCTGTGAAAGGCCCGATAGTAAAGTCCAGTGTTATGTGCTCTTGTGGTGCCCGGTGGATTCAAATGGCCTGAGTGCAGCTTGCTCTCTTCATTCAAATCTCATTGAAAACTCCTTGCCATAAATATTCCCTATCACACGGACCAGGAGCTCTCCCTACTTCCTTCCGAATTCTGTGAGTTCTCATTCCCTGCCAGCTGGTGGAAATTAGTCAAGTAAGCCTATGGAATCATAATCGCTTCCCAAATCTTCGAGGTTGTGTCAACAACCCTTATTTTCCTCTCGCAGTTAGAAGTACAAGCTCAAATGACCTCTTGGGACTCTGAGTCCATGTTAGAAAAGAGATCCCGTCAGCTATCATCAGCTGATGACTGCTGAGGAAGGGATAGTCACTTTTCCTTGGGGATGTGATCCCCCTGGTATGTTCCATGACCCAGTGCATTGCCTCACATCCATGCACATACAGTCAACACAACTGGACTTTGTGGGTAATAGTGATGCTGATGCTGATAGCAACAACAACAACAACAATAATAATAATATAAGAAGTCTAGAGGGAGGAAAGTTGGGAGCCCTGGGAGGAGTTGGAAAGAGGTAGTGGGGGAAGATATGACTAAAATACATTGTATAAATGTATGAAATTTTAAAGGAATCATTTTTTTTAATCGAGAGCTGAAGGGATGGCTCAACCTTAAGATCATTTGTTGCTCTTGCAGAGGACCCATTTCCATTCCCAGTACCCACATGGTATCTTAAAATCATTTGTAACTCTAATTCCAGGGCATCTGACCTGACCTCCATGGAAACCAGGCAAGCATAAGGTACACGTACATACATGCACCCAAAACACTCATACACACACACACACACACACACACATTAAAAACAAAAAAAATTTAGTGCCATCAAATGTAAGGATTTTCTAGCACCTGACCTGATGTCATGAATGTGGAAAGACAGGAGACATAGTCCTTCTCCATTTGTAAAGTCTTGTGACTGATCCTAGGCAGGAGATTTCTAATATAAAATGGAAACTGAGTTGAATGCAAACAATATCCTTGGATCTAAATGTGTGCCAGAGTGTGAGCTATGAAGAAAATCAGACCCAGGAACACTGAGATGCCCAGCAGCCCCGTTAGTTACATTTCTCTTATTTCTCTCACCACCGTTTGAGCAACTTCCTGCCACTGCTGTCATCCAGCCCATTAAGGGTTTACTCTTCAAAGCCCTTGCATCTGGGAACGTCGCCCTGCCCCTGAGTGACTCCTCCTCCATGTCCTGGGCCTGATACTCAGAGTGCAACTTTACTACAGTGTGTGGAAATATCAGGCTATAACACAATCCTGGTGAGCAATGCCCTGCCCAGACACCTTACTCAGCTTGGCTCATGTTGCCCCAGGGATCATTTCACCACCCTCTGCATTTCAACTTCCTATTTCACACCGTCTGCTGCCCCTTCCAGTCACCTTCTCTCCTCTTCAGCTAGAGTTGCTCTCATGCCCTCTCTGCACTCCCAGCTACCAAAGATAAGCAAGAGTCCTGGAGCTGAGTCTCAAGCCCTTTGTGCTGCTCAACACAAGGCAGCTTCCCCCAAAGGAAATGATTGTTGAGCTGGCAGACTCTGCATTTTGACCTCCCAAATTCCCAGAATTAGAATTTGTCTTTCAAGGCATAGGCCTCAGGCATGGGGGACAAAACCAAAGAAATAAACTGCTTAACTACTCAGAATTTCAGCTATCACAATGTTCTGTCCATTACAGAGCTTTCTTTTCACATTTGACTTGTCTGTGGCGTGTGTGTGGTGGTCAGTGGACAGTTTTTCAGTTCTCTCCCCCCAACGTGTGACCTTCTGGAGAGATTTAACTGAGATCATCAGGCCAGGTGGCAGGTTCCTTAGCCACTGAGCCACCTTCCTGACCCACGAGGTTCTTTTCATTTCTCTCACCAGAGAATGCTCTTGACTATGGCTTACAATGTCTCCAACCTTTCACATTCTTTTAGCAGAAGACACAAGTTATCAATCTGTTTGAATGGCAAAGTTCTTATTTCCATTGTCCTCCAGTATAACTTGCACATATAAAATCTAATTTCATTAAAAGAGATATACACACAGACATATAGTTTCCTCTGTTAACACACACACACACACACACACACACACACACACACACACGGGGAATTTTGTTAAAATTTTTGGTTATTGGATACATTTATTTATCTATTTTATTGAAAATAGACTTGTTTTCATACAACACATTCTGATTTTGGTTTCCCCTCCCCCAGATCCTCCCCACCCAAATCCACACCCTTCATTTTCTTCCTCATTATAATACAATTACATTTTTTTCCAACAGGGTTTCTCGGTAGCTTTGGAGCCTGTCCTGGAACTCACTCCATAGACCAGACTGGCCTCAAACTCACAGGGATCCCCCTGTCTCTGCCTCCCAAGTGCTGGGATTAAAGGCATGCATCACCACCACCAGGCCAAGTACAAATTTTTTATTTTCTTGTTATAACAACTAAACCATAAAAGGGTCTAAAGTCAAATACTCTTTTAATTAACTGCTGCTTCTCTGGTCTAATGGTGGGAGGTACTCTTCGCATGGTATGGTGTACACAAATAAATAGATAATGGCAGTTTTTCATCAAAATGTGATCATAGTCCATCTATTAATGGTCTTCATCTAACGATGCTTCAAGAATGTTCTCCTACTTCTCCCAGCTGAACTAATGGCTATGGGTGGATTCTAGGATATGGTCAACTATTGTCTTTAGCTGTGTACCAACTAGCAAGCTCACCAGGCTCCAGAGGATAGTTCTAAACCCATGGTCAAACCAGCATCCCTGGTTAAAGCCAATGGCTGCAAAACCCAACAAAAAGACACTAACGTGGGAAATGGATTTATAAGGAGGTTGTGTTGGGAAGAAGATAGGAGAGGGTGAGATGTGAGAGAACTGGAATGTGTTATATACTTACATGGACTGTATAAGAGCAAGTGTAATTACTAAAAACTGTGAGGGGCTTCTCTAAGGACAAGGCAATGAGTGTACACGCTCAGAAACATCATCAACAGAAAGCATCTCAGGTCCCGCACACATCTCCCATCCCCCTCTTCTCTGAAGTTACAACTTCATCTCCAAAATTTAGCATAGGGAGTCTGAAACACTTAATATTTCTCAAATTGATGTTGAATTTGCCTTCCACTTTCCTTTATACTCATGCGGTGTTAGGACAAAGACCATCCTCTTCACTGTGAAATCGTGAGGGCCATCATGAGTTCGTGAAGCACCAAACAGAAGCAAGGCATTCCTCAGGGAACACTACAAAGCACAGAAGGTCTTGCAGTGGTTGAAAACTGGAGAGGGCCATTGTCGTTGAAGTACAGAGAAGGGAGCCACTGGGCAAAGTTCAACTAGAATTATGGAAAGGGTGAACCATCCTGACTGAAAATTAGGCCTGCGTGGGACTGAAGGAGACTCACACATACCCTAAAGTCCGATC